GACTCAAGTGAGTACAATATGCCAAATTTCGTGGAAATCGAAAGATATATCGAATCATTTAAATTAAATCGGTCGAACATATATATGGGAGCTATATCTAAATCGGAACCGATTTTCAAGAAATTTTACACACATTATTCTTGACTCAATTCAGAACGCTATACCAAATTTCGTGCAAATCGGAAGATATATAGGGACTTTGGTACACCATTTACATGAAAACGGACGAAAATATATATGGAGCTATATCTAAATCTGAACCGATTTTCAAGAAATTTTACACACATTATTCTAGACTCAATTCAGTACGTTATGCCAAATTTCGTGCAAATCGGAAGATATATAGGGACTGTGGTACACCATATACATGAAATCGAACGAAAATATATTTGGGAGCTATATCTAAATCTGTGACCGATTTTTCCCAATTTCAATAGGGTTCGTCCTTGGGCCAAATAGACTAGCTGTGCCAAATTTTATCCAATTCGCATCATAAATGCGACCTGTACTTTGTTTACAATTTAAAATGGACAGAGAGACGGACATTCATAAATCGACTTAGAAAGTGATTCTATGCATATTCTCAAAAGGAACCATGTGTCTATCTCCTTTTCTTTTGCCTGTTACAAACATATGCACAAAGACATAATACCCTGTACCACAGTGTGGTGAAGGGTATAAATATCAATATCGGTTTACGACTTGGTATAGATCACATGCAACGGGTCCGACCATTTTTCGGTAGTTTAAAGGCTTTAGCCGCATTTTCCCACAGATGTGGCTGAAATTTAGTATAAAGGATTTTTGAAGGACATGGTCCAATATGGGTCCAATTTTTGATATGTTCCCGCCGAATGCCGAATTTTCTTACGGAAGTGGCAATAATTTGCTATATGGAATTAGGGGATAATGGGCAGCGTCGGCATTGGGGTACCTTCGGCATTGACGTTTTCAATACAAAGCTCTCATTGTACATCACTAGTCCTACATATTTAACCCAGTGGCAAATTCTCGGAATTGGATTGAACCTCCAGAGGAGCGAGTAGTTGCCTTACAAAAAGTCTTTAAAATTTTCGTAAATCTACTGGGTCTATGTGAAAAGGCAGAACATTTGTCGTTGGAGGTGCAGGAGCAGTTATGTCTCCTAACTGCATCAAATTAGGGAAGGCGTCCTCGAACCACGGACCAAGGCCTTCTGTTGACCATGATGCTGCCTAAGACGCAGAAGAAATGGCTAGACTGGTAAGGATGGTTATCTTGTCAAATAAATCAGAAGCAACGGTAGAATTGACCTTTTTATACACAATTTCCTCAGATACAGTCAAGAAACGTTAGCCGCACTTACGGACAGCAACAGCGTTGCATAACCCGGTCCAAAACAGAGGTTAGAGTTATTTGTTTAATACCCTGCAGAGAATGTTCTAAATTACAGAAGTTCAAGATGGAAAATTGCTGTAGGAGCTGATTCCTTTCCTTTTAAGAATATGCATAGAATCACTTTCTGATTCTATGTATTCTTGCGAACAAAGAACAAGTTGAATTTATGATAACATTTGGATGAAATTAGGCACAAGTCATTGGTTGGGGAAAACTAAATCCATTAGACCGGTAGTCGAAAATGTCGATAATATGGGAGAAATTATCGAAGTTGACCGGCATATTAGCAGTCGTAACATCGCCCAGAAGCTAAAACTCAGTTATAAAACGTTTTTAAACCATTTACACAAAGCTGGATTCAAAAATAAGCTCCAAGTTTGGGTGCCACATCAATTAACAGAAAAAATAGGATGGATCGGAATTCCATCTGCGAAGCCATGGCCTGGAGAAGAGAAAACGATCGTGGTCAAAGATCGGTGAAGCACCTCAAACGGTCTAACGACCTGGAAGCTTCTGATATGCAATTGGTGGGACTGGAGGGGGATTATTTATTATGAGGTGCTTCCATATGGCCACGCTAAATTCTGATATCTACTGTCAACAACTGTACCGTTTGATGATATCAATTGACCAGAATTGGACAACAGGAGAGGTGTTGTGTTCCACCATGACAACGCTAGGCCACACACATCTACAGTGTCTCGCCAGAAACTTTAGGAGCTTGGTTGGGAAGTTTTAATGCATCCGTCATAGAGTCAGGACACCAAGCGTTTATCATCTTTTTCTAACATTGCAAAATTTATTTAATGATAAAAATTGGTATCTACGCAGGATTGCTAAAATCAACTACTAGAGATTTTGCAAATAGAGAACTGAACTTTTATGAGCCATGCATTATGAAGTTACCTTTAAAATGGCAATAAATCATACTACAAAACGGTGCCTATTCCGAAGCATGTTAAATAAAGTCCTATATTTCATAGAAAAAAATTGGACAAAGGACGAACCTTATTGAAATTGGAGAAAATCGGTTTAGATTTAGCTCCCATATATTTCGTCCGAATTTATGTAATTGCTGCTCCAAACACCTAATATTTGTCCGATTGAGAAAATTTTTGCATTGCTTACTGAATTAGGACCAGTTTGATGCCTGTGAAGTTTTATTGAAATTGGTTCAGATTTAGATATAGCTGACATGTAGAGTTTCGTCCGACTTTATTCAAATGGTGTACAAAACTCTCAATATTTGATCGATTTAGACAAAATTGTGCACAGCGTGCTGAATTAAGTCCAGTTTGATGTCTGTGAAGTTTTGTTGAATCGGTTCAGATTTACTTATAGCTCCCGTACACAATTGTGCTCTACTTAATACAAATGGTGATTGACATCCTATTTTTATACCCTCCATAATAGTGTGGAGGGTATATTAATTTTGTTTTTCCGTTTGTAACTCATCGAAATAATCATTTTCGACCCTATAAAGCATATATTTTCTTGATCAGCGTAAAATTCTATGACGATATAGCCTTGTCCCTCTGTCTGCTGTAATCCCTCTAGCGTCTAAACGAATAGAGATAGATCGCCAAAATTTTTTCGAAGATGGGATATATCGGTCCACGTTTAGGCATAGCTCCCATATAAGGGTACCCTCCAATTTTCGGTAATTTGGGGTTCTTAAGCGCGTTTTCAACCGAATTCGCTGAAATTTGCTACATTGAGTTCTTAAATATAGGTTCACTTTTTCTGGTAGCCCCCATATAACGGTATCTACCAATTTTCAATATTTTGGTGGTTTGATGGTATTTTTCCGCCGAAATAGCTGTATTTTAGTATTTTGAGTTCTTAATAGGTACCAAATCTCTCCACAAAAATTTATGAATACAGGTTCATTTTTTCGGACAGCCCCCAAATTGGCGACAATCGGTTCAGATTTAGATATAGCTCCCATATATATTTTCGTCCGATATAGGCACCAAAGTCCCTATATATCTTTCGATTTGCACGAAATTTGGCATAGCGTACTGATGTGTGCCAAGTTTCGAGAAAATCGGGTCAGATTTATATATAGCTCCCATAAATATTTTCATCACATTTAAGGTAAATGGGGCACCAAAGTCTGTATATATCTTTCGATTTGCATGAAATTTGGTACAGAGTACTGAATTAGGTCTGGAATGATGTGTGCCAAGATTCGAGAAAATCGGTTCAGATATAGCTCCCATACATATTTTTGTCCGATTTTATGTAAATAGTGCACTAAAGTTCCTATATATTCTTTGATTTTCACGAAATTTGGCATGACATACTATATTCAGTCTAGAATGATGTGTGTTAAGTTCTGAGAAAATCGGTTCAGATTTAAATATAGCTCCCATATATATTTCGTCCGATTTAATGTAAATGGTATACCAAAGCCCCTATATATATTTCGACTTTTAGGAAATTTAGCATGGCGTACTAAATTAAGTCTAGAATGCTGAATCAGAAAATCGGTTCAGATTTTGATATAGCTCACATATATATATATATATATATATATATATATATATATATATTTTCGACCGATTCAATGTGAATGTTGCACCAAAATTCGTATGTGTCTTTCGATTTCTACGAATCTAAGCAAACCTAGAATGAGGTTTGTTTAGTTTCTTGAATATCGGTTATCGGAGATAACAAATTAGAACGTAAGGTTTGATAATGAACTATAGCCGCATTTAGACCTAGCCGCTGTGTGGAGGTTCCAGAAGGAGTGGACCAATATTCCCCATCTTCGAATTTAAACTAAGTTTGGAAGAAATAATAAGATGTGCAAAGTTTGGATTAAATCTAAATTTTCTGTCTACGTAGATTACAAATTTAATTTTTCCCAATTCAATTTGAACGGACTTGCAAAGATACTATGTCTCTTCTTTCTATAGGATATTGTATGTACCCAAAGTGTTGAAGGCCACGTCCGACTTATGATCTTTCCTTACTAGTTTTTTTGTCTTTTATCTCGGCTTAGATTTTTTATAATGACGTCTTCCATGAACGAATAGTTCTGCTTTAGTTTCTTTCGATTTAAATACATCTGGTCAGCAGATTCGTCATGGTCATTCTATTCTCAAATGTAAACAAATCGTAAATATGTTTTGTGTATAACAAAGAAAAAAAATTATTCTAGCTGACAAATGAAAAAACACATGTGCGATAAGAAATAAAATAACGCAAATGAACGCAAAACTATTCAATTGAAGAGAGAGATTGTGTTTCTCTTAGAATCCAAAAATAAAAGAAGAATCCAAAAATAACAGAAGTTTTTTTGCCTTCCGAAAATTAACAACAACACACACCATTGATATCCCGAGAGGTATCGTTTACTTCCATCCTTTCTGTCATCAGGTAGAAACTGGTAATTAGAGTCTCCTTAAAGAGCAAATGGAAAAAAGAGAGATTCAAACCATATCGTGTGTTTAGTCTTTTGTTATAGTTTCACCCATAAATTAGTGAGTAAATCCACAATTCGGTCGTTTGTCATCAGTTTAGTTTGAGCGTTCATTGAAGACGCATTAGCGGTCTGAGAACGAGGCAACGGTTTAATAAGAAACAAAAACAAAGCAAAACAATATTGAAAACAAAAAATGATAACGCATTTAAAAATTCTATTATCGTCCATACTACTATTTGCAGTTGCCCATGCATATGACCCAGTTACTGCACCGCCACCACCGCCACTATGTTCTACGCATTGCAATATAAAATCGGCTACTATCTCACCAGAAATTGTGAATGAACTGAAAGATTTCGAGCACTTAATACCCGCTGCAATAATAGACGCTATTGTGGCCAAACACTATGTGATCGACGGAGGTTTTCGTACGGCCCTAAAATATTTGCGAAGTAATGATTTTACACGCCTGCAAAAACAGTTACTTGATGTACCCGAAATTATCTCCGTATTGGATTTTCTGCATATGACCATTAATGCAACAACGACGGAGACGAAGAACCAAATGCCGGAATCATCAACGGCGGGAATACCATCAGCATCATTGCAGGATGATGAAACAGCAACATCATCAACGGTTAATGATAATGGAATGGACAGAATACCCACTAATACACTAACCACCACCGGCACTGACAACGTAGTAGTGGCCATGCGTCCACGGGCTTTGCATGCCAGGATCAGAAAAGTGCTCGCACACAAAAGACCACAATTAGATGCATTGGAGTATGCTGACGATGTCAGCCATGGCTATGGCGGTGGCAATGCCGTTCTTGCCTCAGCGGAGCAACAGTCATTAGTGGACATTGTACTTTTGGACTCTAAGCTCAATATGCTAAGGGCAAACGATGACCAGTTGAACACTGTTAGTGGCAGCGTTCAGGCTACCATGGCCAGCGGTCATCATCAACATCGTTATCAAGAGCATCCTTTGGGTTCATTTACATCATTCGTTGAGGAAATATTAAGAGAGTTGCCACGACCAGAATATCAGCATATGATTACCGATAAATACATGAAAAATGCAAATTTTGCAAATTTCTACAGAGCACTGAGAAGTGCGGAATTTAAGCCACTGGTCGAAGAAGCATTGGTAAGTTGAAATACTTGAAGAAATTCAAGCTACAAAGTGCATGGATTTTGAAATATATTTTTTCTATTTGTAGAAATCTTCTAATATCCAACAAATAATTAAGTTATTGGCTTCTCACAGCATTGATGTCCAGGCGTTGAAACCAATTGCCTTTCAAGTTATTTCCTGGGGACCTAATGTATAATTTTCTAGAATTAAAAAAAAAATTATTTAGTGGAGATTTTCAGTTCCAAGAGACTGAAAATAAATAAAAAATACAAATTGTGTAATCCTTAATGGCGAATGATTATGGAAATATTTTCATAATAAATATAATAATAAAACGGAACCAAATTTTTTTCAATAACCTCGAGCCGAAAAATTTGCATATATAAAAAAATCAGAAATTAAAGACTTCAGTTTTGTTTTAAGTGAAAAATTACGAATAAAATAAGGAAAGTAGTAAAGTCGGACGGGGCCAACTACATGATACCCTTCATCACTATGGGTATATTAAACAAATGCATTCTAACGAAAGGGCCATTGATATGAAATTTTATACTCTAATATATATGACCTTTATCTAAATGTTAACCGACTTAGATCAATCCATAAATATGTCATTCGTTTGTTACAGTGGGACAAAATTTTGTAAATCGATTTAAAGCAAATATCAAAATGCTCCATTTTGTACGTCGTGTAAAATTTCATGTCAATATTACAAACATGGGGAGTTTGGTGCACCATTTACTTAAAATGGGATGAAAATAGATATGGAACCTATATCTAAATATGATCCGATTTCAACGGAAGTTGTCACAGGTTGGATTGTATTAATTTCAGCAGGAACCGATTTTCAAAAAACTTTACACACATCATTATACACTCAATTAATTACGCTATGCCAAATTTGACGGAAATCAAAGGATATATATGGACTTTTTTTAATAATTTACATTAAATCGGTCGAAAATATATATGGGATCTATATCCAAATCTGAACCGATTTTCAAGAACTTTTACACACATAATTCTACACTGAATTCAGTACGCTATGCCAAAATTCGTGCAAATCGAATGATTTTCAGGGACTTTGGTGCACCATTTACTTAAAATCGGGTGAATATATGGGAGCTATATATAAATCTGAACCGATTTTCAAAAAATTTTACACACATCATTCTAGACTCAATTCAGTGCGCTATACTAAATTTCGTGCAAATCGGAAGATATGTAGGGACTTTGGCATTCCATTTACTTAAAATCGGGCGAAACTATATATGGGAGCTATATCTAAATCTGAACCGATTTTCACGAAACTTAGCACACATCATTCTAGACTCAATCCAGTACGGTATGCCAAATTTTGTGCAAATCGGGAGATATATAGGGACCTTCGCATACCATTTACCTAAAATCGGGCGAAACTATATATGGGAGCTATATCTAAATCTGCACCGATTTTCACGAAACTTAGCACACGTCATTCTAGACTTAATTCAGTACGGTATACCAAAATTCGTGCAAATCGAATGATTTTCAGAGACTTAGGTGCACCATTTACCTAAAATTGGGCGAAACTAAATATGGGAGCTATATCTAAATCTAAACCGAATCGAATGATTTTCAGAGACTTAGGTGCACCATTTACCTAAAATTGGGCGAAACTAAATATGGGAGCTATATCTAAATCTAAACCGATTTTCAAGAAATTGTACACACATTATTCTAGACTCAATACAGTACGCTACACAAAATTTTGTGCAAATCGAAGGACATATAGGGACTTTGGTGCACCATTTACATAAAATCGGGCGAAACTATATATGGGAGCTATATCTAAATCTGAACCGATTTTCTCCAATTTCAATAGGGTTCGTCCTTGGGCCAAATAAGTGAACTGTGCCAAATTTTATCCACATCGGATCATAAATGCGGCCTGTACTTTGTTAACAAAAGTACATGGACGGACGTACGTGCGTAAATCGACTCGGAAAGTGATTCTATGTATATTCTCAAAATGAACCATGGGTCTATCTCGATTCCTTTTGCCTGTTACAAACATATGCACAAAGACATAATACCCTGTACCACAGTGTGGTGAAGGGTATAAATATCCAACGCATTATAGAGCTTTAAATGCAATGTCTGCAAAGTTTTGTTTTAATTCCATTTTCTCTGCGTTTGCTCATTGATTTTACATGACCACTGCGTTTACAGCGAACAAAACCAACAGCTATTTAACCTTAAGAACACTACTCTTTGTTTTTATAATTTTTTTCTGCGTTTCGCATTCGAGCAATAACCTTTGTCTTCTGTTTATAGGTATAAACCTATCAAACGGAAAAGTTTTGACCTTTAAATGTTGTGGAGTTCGTCTATAACAACGGAGAAAAGTTTCGAAAGTCGAAAATGGCTAAAATAGATGTAGGCAGCTGTTATCTATATCGTTTAATAAGAATATTGAAAAAGCGGCAGGTGTGAACAACCTTTTGTAATGTAGTGGACAAAAATAAAAATATGGAATTATGTTTAGCAAATTTTAGTAGCTTAATTTTTATGTAAGGTCGGACCGATGTTTTTTTACCTTACTGTATAAAGTGAACATTAAACCTGTAAAGAAAGTTCAAAAGTTATTGGTGCATCATTTACTTAAAATCGGAAGAAAATGCATATGGGAGCTCTGAACAAATTTCAAAATAAAAAAATCCACACTCTAGGTTACTTTAACTTCAGTGCGTTGTGCAAAAGTTTGTGTTAATAGGCCTTACTTTTGGTATTTGGTGTACCATTTACTTAAAATTGGATGAATTTATACATGGGAGCAATATCTAAATCGGAACCGATGTTCACGAAACTTAACACATATCATTCTAGACTTTATTCTTTACGCTATGTCAAATTTCGTATAAACCGAAAGATATATGTGGACTTTGGTGCACCATTTACATTAAATCGAACGAAAATATATTTTTGAGCTATATATAAATCTGAACCGATTTTCAGGAAACTTAACACACATCATTCTAAGCCTATCTCAGTACACAATGAAAAATTCCGTGCAAATCGAAAAATAAATAGGGACTTTAGTGCACCATTTATCTTAAATCGGACGAAAATATATATTGGACCTATATATTAATCTGAACCGATTTTCACGAAACTTAGCACACATCAATCAAGAGTTAATTGGCTACGCTGAGTCAAATTTTTTTGCAAATCGTTATATATATATATATATATATATAGGGTCCTGGGTTCACCATTTATATTAAATCGTACGAAAATATGTATGAGAGCTATATATAAATCTGAACCGATTTTCTGATTCAATTCACTATGCTGTGCCAAATTTCGTGCAAATCGAGAGATATATAGGGGCTTTGGTGCACCATTTAAATTAAATCGGACGAAAATGTGTATGGGAGCTATATCTAAATCTGAACCGATTTTCACGAAATTTAACACACATCGTACTAGACTTATTTCACTACGCTATGCCAAATTTCGTACAAATCAAAGGATATATAGGTACTTTGGTGCACCATTTACCTTAAAGCGACGATAATAAATATGAGAGCTATATCTAAATCTGAACCGACTTTTCCCAATTTCAATGGGGTTCGTCCTTTGGCCAATAAATAAGCTGTGCCAAATTTCATCCAATTCGAATCAAAAATCGACCTATACTTTGTTTACAATTTAATATGGACAGACAGACGGGCATGTATAAATCGACTTAAAAAATTATTCTATGCATATTCTCAAAAGGAACCATGTGCCTATATCGTTTCCTTTTGCTTGTTACAAACATATGCATAAAGACATAATACCCTTCACCACAGTGTGGTGAACCACCCTGTACCACAGTATGGTGTAGGGTATAAAAACCTATATATACATACCGTTCTGAAATCAATGAAAAATGTCATGTCAAACGGACAGATTCTTTGGTGTACCATTTGTATGAAATCGAGCAAAATTGTGTGTGGGGGCTACATATAAACACATGGAGCTAATTGAGCAAAATTTGCATACACCATTTGGGTTTTCCACTTTAAAACACATTACTCTAAACATAGGCTCTTGTGCACCATTTACTTAAAATCGGGGGAAATAATATATAAGACCTATATCTAAATTTGTATCGATTTCAAAAAAAAACCTTAACACACTTTATTCTTGCCTCAATTGCATTCGATATGCAATATTATAAAATCGAACATATATTGGGAGTTTGTGCACAAACACATCGCATATATCATTCTGGACCCAATTCAGTACGTTGTGCAAAATGTTGTCTCAATCATGCAAATATTGGGAGTTTCGGTTCATAATTCAGATAAAATATGACGAACATATATATGGCAGCTAAATCTAAATATGAACCGATTTCAATAAAACTTCGCATATATCAGTCTACACCTGATTGTGTATGCGGTGCAAAAATTTTGCCCCAATCGGACAAATATTGGGAGTTTAACACACCAGTTACATAAAATCGGACGAAACCATATATCTAACTCTAAACCGATTTCAACGAAATTTCGCATACATCAACCTGAATCAAAATTAGTACGTCATATAAAATTGTGTCTCTATTGGACAAATATTAAGAGTTTGGTGCATCATTCACATAAAATCATTAACATTTTTCAAATTTCAGTACTGTTCGTCCTTGGACCAAATGTGACCTGTGCCAAATTTCATCCAATTTGGATCATAAACGCGACCTGTATTTGTTTACAATTTAACATGGACAGACAGGCAGAGGAACGGACAGACATGAATAAATCGACTCAGAGAGTGATTCTGTGTATATTCTCACAAGGAACCAAAAGGTACCACAGTGTAGTTAGGGATATAACTAGGGTTTTATGGGGACTACCTCCAAAGGGGGACGAATAATAATAATTTTGTTATGAAGGAATCCAAAATTCGAAATTGCAGCTAGTTCGGTAGAAAACTGCGCTGAAACCTCCAACATTTTCGCCATATTTTTTGGTACCTTACTATGAGTGCTACACCAAAATATAGACCGATTTTTGGAGAGGGATTTCATAGCAAATAAGTATCCCAAATTTTTTCGGAGCGATATTACCCATTTTCGATCTTGATATTCCTGCAGACATGTTACAGCTCTATTCAAAATTTTGATGATTCATCTCAATTCGTTTAGGGGCTAGAATGGTTAACACACAGATG